CGGCCCGATAACGCCGCATGATCACGGACAAAACCCCACGACTGAAGGTGAACAAAGCCGGAAGTCGTCGTCACAACTGCCACACGTCTATTGAGACAACCCACACCGCAACAAGACTCTACCTTAGCTACATCTCCACCCTGACCTGAGATACGCTACTACAAGTCCAGGGAAATACCTGACGCAGCCATCGATGCGGCCGCATCGGGTTTGTGCGAGGGCAAGCTTACACGAAAACGTGATCCCGCTAGTCCATAATGGTGCCGCGACCCGGGAGTACTACTCCGGAAAACGGAGTGGAGATATAGCAAGAGCCAGTTGCGGGAGCGCCATCGATTGGAAGGTCGTCGGTGGCAAGTGAGCTCGAAGGAGACAGACCGGTCGCTGCGTGGAGCTCGGAGGGAACCTTCACGACAGGCCATGAGGCCAGCGACGACCACGAGGGTTATGAAGAACAGTTTGCCGTTCCCGATGTGACTCCGCCCGGAGCCACCTCGAACGTCGACGCAAGTCGAGGTCCGACCGGTCCGAAGCTCGAAAGAGTTGAAGACCAACCGGCGCGCGCATCTTCTTCTTTCTCTAGGGCTTGCGCTTCGCCGGGGTCGGAGAATGAACCGACTCCCAAGACGGGATCCAAAGATGCAGGACGCCAATACACCGCGGAAGAGTTGGGGTATGCGCTCAGCCGTACAGAGTGGTTTCGGCAGCTGGAGCGGGACCCGATCCTCAGCTTCATCAAACCGAAACGGATTGGTGAACTAACAGGGCTGTTTCACAAGCCGGACTTCTCGAAGCTCAGAAGCGTACGTCAGACGATTCAAGCGTTGTTTGCCGTACTGCGCGAATCGGGTTTCGTACTGGGAGCCTTTGAGATGGAGAGGGTGTATGATTGGGACTTGAAGTCATGGATGAACGCGATCTATGCGTTTCTTGATCCGCTCACGGTCTTGGTTGGCGCAGTCGAGCGTAGGACGATCCCGATCCAAGATCGTAAGCCCAAGACGCGGCCAGCCTTGCCTCCACCGGAGTATGCGTCGAGCGAGGACTCCGATAGTAGCGTCGAGTCCCCGAAACGGATGTCGATGCGCCAACCGCCACGCGTCATGCATCTCGCAGCGACGACGGCTGAACCGGAAGTCCCGTCCACAGAAGGACTCCTCCCCAAAGCTATGGAAGATGCGATCGTCCGACTGATGTAGTCGACGAGGATGCAAACTGCACCCGGGACGACGTCGTCCGCTCCGGGCTACGCGAGCCCGACGCCCACGTCCCACCGCGATACGGCAGAAGCGGTCCCTCAAGAGTCGACAGACGTCGCGATGGAGTCGGTGAGCTCGCGCTCGTCGTCACGCTCGAAGCGAGACCGAGACGAAGACCCGGACGATCTCTTCGATCTAGATGCCGGGCTAACCGGAACCGCTGCTACAATCGCCACTGCTACGGCAGGCGCCGGTGTCGGGCGCGCCTCTGCGCCTCTCGGCGTTCTCGAAACTGAAGGAGTTCAACAGGAAAGACGCCAGTGAGGAGAAAGCCCGTGCCTGGGTTAACCGACTGAAGTTTGCGTCAAGACGCGATGGAATGACCGGAGACGAAGTGTGCGCGCTGTTCGGAGACTTGATGGCTGGGCCCGCGCGTCAGTGGTATTTGCAACTGAAGAAGTCGACGAGTACGTCCTGGACCGAGTTGACGGACCAGTTCCGCGTCCAGTATTGCGGTAAAGGCGTGTCCATAACGAGCCGCTACTACCACGCGTCTAAACATGTGGATGAGACACCCCTCGAATATGTGTACCGGCTGAACGTCGCAGGCATGAGGGCGAAGATCCATTACTCCGATGGGATGCCCGAAGAGAAACGCGAACATGTCGAGCTGTTCATCAACACCTTGGGCGCACAGGAGCAAGAATTGGCATCACGCCTCTCGCTGATGAAAGTGCCGGACGCGGCCACGTTGGAGAAGAAGGTTCACGCGCGACAACACAGTCTCACACACCAGATGAAAACGCTCTTTGGCTCAAACCGATTCCGACAGAAGGCGCCGGCGCGAACGCAGACGCCGACCAGGTCCGTCCACGCTGTCCAGATCCACGTTTATGGGTGACGCGAGGAACGGCATGGGTGACGTCCGTAATCAGGGCCCCGGTTGGGCGACACATGTGTCTACGGGTCGCCTATATTACGAAGAAGTCGGCAGTCCTAGACGCCCACACAACGGTTGGCTGGTGGTCGTCCGTTGACTCAATACCGCGTGCGTTTGGGTTCGTGCGGCCTGGATCGCGGAAATATGACGAGTGGCAAAACCTGGCGTACGAGGCAACGTCAGGTGTGAACGACAAAGAGATCTTCCAGGAATCACGCGAGCCGGTGACGGAGCGAAGGGTGTACGCCAGGCAGTAGATCATGCACCGACCAGAAGAAACGCAGAACGTGGGGGCAGAGCGTCGGCGGGAACAAGTCGCGGCGGTGGCGGTGATCTCACGAGGGGATACCAGCGTATCCGCCGACACAACTCCAACTCGGGAAGCCCGTTGCCCAGAACCGGGAGACGAACCGCACCTTGAAAAAGAGCAGGAAGGTGGGCTGCGTCCTATGACGGGGTCGACCGATGGTCTAAACGAGTTTGGCGTTAACTTCGAGAGCATTCCAGAATACGAACATGCTGACGAGGAAGTAATATTCCACGAAGGTTCGGACCTGTACGCGGAAGACGTGGAGGCCGAGATGGCCGTGCTACCCAAAGTTCCCTTGACGGCTGAAGTGAAGATCGGAGACCTCAAGATGGGGCGTCCGGAAGGAGTGGATCCGAAGGAGGTCGAAAAGATGGAGGAGTGATTACGCCAAATCGTCTGGGAGGAGCGCAAATGGCTGATTGGGAAGGGCAATGCTTTGCCGCCTGCCGCAAAGGGCGTCATCTGCTACATTGACGTGGGCAACGCGAGACCCGTCGCACAACACGTCAGGAAGATCTCGCCGCAATTTCGCGAGAAGTTAGCGGACCTGATTCGGGGGCTCCTTAGCGCGCATGATCCGCGCATCGAAGTCACCGTGGGCATCTCCAATCGTTGTCATCGTGAAGAAGAATGGAGTCGACATCAGACTCTGCGCCGATTACAAATTGGTCAACGGACTGACCCAGCTGATGGTATATCCAATGCCGCTGGTCACGGACCTCTTGGAGGATCTGGACAAGTATCGGTGGTACTGTTCTCTGGATATTGCCAGCGGGTTTCGGGTAGTGTCCATGACGGACCGAGCCCGTCTCATCTCCGCTTTCGTCACACCGTTTGGACTGTTCGAGTGGCTACGCATGCCATTCGGTCTGTGCAATGCACCGCAGATATACCAGCGGTTGATAGACAATGCGTTGTACGGGTTTTGGAAACTGTCCCCGACGGAGAATACCCGCGATGTTTTCAAAGACAGAATCCCGTCTAAGCCTGGAACGAGGTCCGTTTTGAGCCGTCGGTCGTACATTGATGATATCTTGATCGGGGGTACGTCGTGGGATGACTTGCGCAAGAATGTGGAACGTCTCTTGGAAGTCTGTGAGGAATGGCATTTGTCGATCAGCGTGGAGAAGAGCGAATGGGGAATATCGAAAGTGGATTATCTGGGCCACGAAATATCGGAAGACGGACTCGGGGCGAAGCCGAAGAACTTAGAGACCCTTGTGACGTTGGAATTCCCATGTACACAAAAGGGGCTACAGTCGGTTTTGGGTAGCCTTAACTACTACCACCGTTTCATTCCGGATTTCGCGATCTACGCGGCCGCGCTCTACTCCCTCTCCGCCCACGATTTTGAAGAGCGGGTTGCGAATCCTGAGACGCGCGATCTAGATAATTGGACTCACGCGGAACGGGCATTTGACACGCTCCGTAGCATGATAGCGACTACATCCATGTTGAAACATTTCGACACCGATAAACAGCCGGTGGTAATCGTGTACGCGAGTGACGGGGCCGTGTCGGCCGTCCTGGCCCAAGACCAGGACGGGGTATACCTGCCTGTCAAGTTCACCAGTCGGACGTTGAATCCCAACAAGTTGAACTACAGCATCGCGGAGAAAGAAATCCTGGCACTACTACGCGTCCTGAATGAATATCACAACATGCTGACGGGAAGGACGATCCGCGTCCTAACCCGACACACGACTCTCGGATGGCTTTTCCGATCCAAGGGTCTCCAGGGGCGACTTTCGCAATGGGCGGCAATCCTCTCACCATGGGGGTTGGAGATTCTCCGATTTGTAAAGGGAGAGGAAGAAATCCTGGGCACATTGGCCGCGAGCATCACGCCGGGGGCTACGTCGACGCGGCGCTACAGGAAAACTCCCGTCTAGGACGGCCACGATCCCGGTACCAAAGATCGGACCGGCCGAAAGTCTGTACGTGATTAGCTTCGACGGATCGGCTCGTGTCAAGCGAGAGGGAGGAGGATTCAGCGCCGTGGTATGGAAACTACCGAACTGGGACCTTATTCGAGCTGCATCGGGGTATGTGGAAGGGCTCACCGTGAACGAGGCTACCGAGACATGCTGCTCGGTACCTCGCTGTTGGACTACCGCAACGTTGCGCGATTGATCATCTGCGGGGACTCCAATCTGGTAATACGTCAGATGCGGGGCAAGAAGGACTGCAAGTTGCCCGGGCTGAAGCTGCTGAGAGCGCAGGCATGAAACGCACTACGAAGATGGCCTCAACACGAATTCCTCCACGTTAGGCGGGACTGGAATGCGAGCGCGGACATGTTGGTCGGACAAGCTCTCCAGCGCCAACAAGACAAGAATGCCTATAACGCGGGTAAGTTGGAGGATCTGAGGACCCTGAACCGGTTGGGAGAAGTGGTGCGCCCGGCGACGAACGATGCGGAAGACAGCGATCATGTCTTGAAGACTGAGACGCACGATCTAGACGACCCCGTCTTGGAGGCTGAGACGCGCGATTCAGATAATGCAGGACGCGGGACGAGAAGAAGCTGTCTTGTGATCACGCGTTCACGGGACGCGCCAAACCCAGCGCCGAGAAGACAGCCGGAGGTACTAAAAGAACTCGAGGTACAACGACTCTGTCGGGATCGAGTCTGTACTGCGCAAGAGGAGGAGGTTTGGATCGTCAACCTCAAGAAGTTCTTAGACGGATACATCAGCGAATTGTCCAGACGCGAAGCGAAAAACTTCGCCAAGATAGCGTAACAGTACGAAGTCGGGGAGAGCGGTTTACTGTACTACCACGTACGTGGGAGCGAAGCCACCGAGTATCGGGATACGATCATGAAGCTTGTCGTTCCAGAGACTCTTCGAGAAGACGTATTGCACCACTACCACGCAAGTCTGGAAGGCAGACATCGCGGCAGGACGTATCAGCGGATACGACGACGTTTCCATTGGCCCGGGTTGTTCAAGAGCGTGCAACGCCATGTTGGGGAATGTGTCGACTGTGAGACGGGAAAAGGCCGTCCCACGATCCGAGGAGAATCGCCGGGCAACATAGTCGCGACGTACCCGTTCCAAGTCGTGGCGATGGACCACATCCGGTCACTACCGGCATTGCACAAGGGCAACAAGGAGCTCCTGGTCTGGGTAGACCTCTTCACGGGTTTTGTGATCGCAAAGGCAAGCGCGTCTCAAACGGCTCAAACCGTCGCGGAATCGTACGAAGAAGCCGTCTTCAGACGATCTGGCGCCAGCGAAGCGATTCGTCACGACCGCGAGCCCGGTTTCATGTCGGATGTTTTCAGCGCCTTCAACAAGCTGATGGGCTAGCGGCAACGTGCGACGCTCGCGTACCGTCCGCAAGCGAACGGGGCGGCAGAACGCATGGTGCAGACCTTTACGAGAGCCATCAAGATGTACATTGCCGACATAGATCAACGTGACTGGGACCAATACGCTGAACGACTGACGTATGCGCTTAACACAGCTCACGATCGAACGAGGGACGAGACCCCGTTCTTTTCTCGTGCACGGCTGGGACCCGCGGTCCACGTTGGAAGCGACATTAGCCGTGGGGAACTCTTCGCATCGGGACCCAGAGGCTCGTCGGTGGAGGATGCGTATTCAACGCCACTACCAGATAGCAAGCGCACAATCCCTGAAACTGGTCCGCGAGGCGGTGGACGTGAGAGCGGCACGCCAAAACGCGAACGCCACGGTACACGCGATAGAACGGGGCTCACGAGTCTGGCTGTATCTGGATCGAGTCAAGCCGGGATACGCGCGGAAACTCGCGTATATGTGGCACGGGCCGTTCCGCGTCGCAGAACTGGTTAGTGCGTATGCCGTGCGTCTAGAGAGACACACGGGACTCCGTATCAGCTGTTACCGATCGTACACGTCTCAAAACTTAAACCCGTCCGAGCGTTTCCGTCACGGCCGGAACTGCGATTGACAGTGCCCGTCAATGAATGCATTGATTTCGACGAGGAGCTCCTCCCGGAAGATAGCTGGGAGGCGCGCGATGTGGGCGAGGGAGTGTACGAGGTGGAAAAGGTCTTGGATGTGCGCGAAGGACGAAAGCCCCGCCACGGGCGTACGCGTCGTGAGTTCCATGTGAAGTGGCTTGGGTATGACGAGACAAGCTTGGTCGATGAGTTGGACTTGAACTGCGGAGGACTCGTCTACAACTTTCTGCGGCAACGCACAGGACGGAGTCATTTCGGAGTCATGCCGTCCCATGAAGACACGCCGACCGGAGAAGGAGCGGGAGTGGGTGTTGAATCGACAGGGTGGTCGTCGACAGGGAGGATAGAGGAACCAGATACTGGGACTGGCTGGGATCTGAAAAAAACAAGTGGGGGAAAGCCTGTAGGATAGGCTTGTTGGCCGAAGATAGAATAACGAAGGGTCGCTCTATGAAAAAGAGACAAACAAGGATAGAAAGAATGGATTCAAGATCGCATACCTTGCCAAAGGCGAACAGCTACGACTAGGGCTATACCTATCGTCGTCCACGAGCGATGAACTTGGACGCGAGGCGTCGAACGGAATACGCCGGGTGCTCTTGAGTCACGGTGCAGTTGCCTGTAACGTCGGGCTGCGTACGAAAAAAACGACGCCATGGCTCACGCGAGTCAACCTCAGCCAGAACGGCCTCCAAGGTGGAGTTTTGTAAATCGGGGTACCAGCAGCCAACACTAGAGCGCCCCGGAGGAAACAGGAGCAACATCACGTCAAGCAACAAGTCCATGTCCGCCCGTCCCGGAAGCACCAAGAGCTGGAACGCGCTCATCAGGTGATCCCCGGCATGCGAGCGGCGTGGGTTACAGCGGCGGCGCCATCGAGCCCACGCGGGTGAGTGGGGCACCAGAAGTTCATGCGTGGCCTCCCACTAGGCCTGTGCCCAATGGTCCAGATGCGTGTCGTAACGCGCCAAGAAGGACTGGAAGCGACGGTCATTGATGTCGAAAGTGAGCGACTGGACGCGACGAGCGAGATAATCCCACGGACGAGTTGCATATAGAGCTTCAACCGCCCTCTCGGTCAGCAATGTCGGGTCCCAGAAGGCCGGCACCGGCGGAGCCGTGGTAGGTAAGATCCAAGCCCGTGGAGGTAGATGATCAGCACGCAACACTTGTGCAGTAAGTGACGAGAGCGTAATGTCGCGCAACACACGAGGCCAGGGAGTGTATCGACTCCGCGTCCACTCCGCCCGATGCTGAAAGGGTGGGATGACGGGCGCGAAGAATGGCCGTGTGGTGAGTATAGCGTCGTCGTCAGGAGAGGAATCGGGCGATCCGTCACCCGGAGGAGCCCCGTCACCTAGATCGGAACCCTCGCTGTCAGAGAATAGGTGGCCCCCACCCGTATTGGTCCCGTCTCCAGGCGTACTGACGTGATGGGATTCCGGAGACGCGGGGTCAGACGACGGAGATGTGATGCGACACCTCTGACGAGGAGGCGGGCGGACTGCAGAGCTGTCGCTCTCAGACCCAGAAGATACCGGACGAGAACGTGGCCCGAGACTCGGGTCCGTCGCCGAATACGCGCCCCCACCAGATTGAGTCGCGGTGTTATCAGAGACGGCCGTGTCAGCGATCGTCGACGTCCGACGACTTCGCCTCAAACGTTGGGCACCTCTACCACCTCGACTAGAGAGAGTGGGTCCTCCCGGGCCTGATGCGCGCGAACACGACTATGACGAACCAGCGGACGGGGTAGGCCTCGCAGCCTGAGCCGCAGAAGATGTAGACGGAGTCGACGCGGGGCCACCGGCAGACTGCGCTGGGACGGAAGGCTACGGCGAAGGCCCAGCCGAGGACGCGGAAGGAGTGGAACTCGAACCCGGGGAAGTCGTGGAGGCCGGAAGACTCGCTGGGGGAACCGACGCCGCCGAAGATGTGTCGAGCGGACGAGAGTTGTCAACACCGGTCGACGCAGGAAATCCAGACAGCGTGGCGGACGCACGTCCCACCTCAGGGTCGAGATCGGGCGGAAGCGGTATAGCCGCGTGTACCGCCGCTTCCACTCTGTCTTCAAGCTGACGCACCATCCAAGTAGCCGCCGACGGCAAGGGACATGTCGCGTAAACGACCGACGAGCGCGTCACACACCTGGCGAGCGGCCTCTCGGCCAATACGCGCCTCCCGCAGAAGGCGACACCACGTAAGAGTGCGCTCCGTGTATGCGCGGTCTGAGTCATCAATCAGACGCTCGAGCCGGGCAACCTCGACGCGGGCGGTGCGGCGGCGGCGAGAAAGCGCGTTCTCCAGCGACACCAACCTAGCCTGTAGGCGACGCTCGTGGTCCTGTGCTTGAGTCCGTCGTTGAGACGCGGCGCGGCGCGAGGACACGAGAGCCACGCGGAACGCATCAGCACGCGATGTAGCCGGGGGCAGAAGAGCCTGCGCGTCGTCACGAGCGGCTTGCGCAGTAACGCGGGCCGTCTCAGCAGCGGAGGCCAAAGCCTCCAGGTAGCGCAAACGAGTCACGTCACGTTGATGCTCCTCAGCATGCGCCACCAACAGAGCGTTGACGCGTCGGAGGTCGTCTTGCAGCGGGGCGTTGGCCGCCCGACCAATATCCAGTTCGCGACGGCTGCTGGCAACGGCGTTACGGGCGTCGCATAGCTCCGAGACCATGGAGTCGCGCTGATCGCGATGCCGAATGTTGGCGGCGAGAGACGAGTCTCTCTCCCGGGTGAAAGAGCCAATCTGAGCGCGCAGGGCCGTGACAGAGGCTTCCAGGGAGGATAGGCCGGTGATGGCCCGAGACACCTCATTCCCCGAGAGGTCAATCTGCGACGTAGCGGCAGAACTCGAGTTGGACGATACGGAGGCGATGTCCGTCTGGGTTGCAGCCTCCGAAACCAGAGGGGGTGACGCAACCGGAGTTGGAGACGCGGGAATCGTCGGAGGAGAAGAGGTTAGGGCCGCAATTCGAGAATTCAGGTTGGAGATACGGCTTCAGCTCGATCCTGAGCGTCCTGGTACGCAGCAGCTTCGTCGGCCGTAGTTCTGCAGAGGTTGTCGTACTGCGTCTTCCACTCGGTCACACACGAATCACGGGCTCGGAGTTCCACATTTTCATCCCGTAATTCGCGCAGAGTCGGATCGCGAGTCTCAACTTCTCGGCTGAGACGATCGACGGCGTCGAGACCAATGTTGTAGCCCTCCCGGGCACGATCCCGCAGAACGTCTAACCCTTCGTGGAGCACGGACGCATGGGCCGCCAGACCGGCATTCAGAGCCGTCATCAGCTCTAGGCGAGACCGTAGTACGTGGGTGTCATGCTCCAGAGCAGTATCATCCTGCACGAGCGCATCTACCGACGGGATGGGGTCACCGACGGCAGGTACTTGAACCGAAGGTCGTGGAGGAATGGACGGACGCTCAAATCCAGTAGCGCACACCGCGCCACGGTTTGGGAAGAAGTCATCAGGGCCTAGTTCGCGCGTGGACCCGTCGGAGTTGGAATCATTAGCCGCATACGACCCATACGGGGTTCCCGCAGCGTTGGACGCGCGTGGAGACTCGTCGGAGTTCGACATTGAATAGGAACGACGAGATCAAGAGAACAAAAGCGAGGTGTTAGCGTGCGCCAAACGTAATGGGTTCCGCTATTGCCCACTCACCTGGGGAGTGCGTAGGAATACCGACGGGACGGATGTGGTGGAGTGCTCCAGGAATGTCCGGCGGCATGATGTGGCAGTTTGAGATCGACACGAGCGAGTGACGGGAAAGGACCGGCAGGAAATGAACGATCTGATTCTCTGAGTCGCCTGAGAGGGTCATAGAAGGACAATACCCCGATTTAGTGACGCTGTCCCCAGACCCCGATCTGGCTACATGACGGACCTCGATTTACGTCATGACGGACTGCGACCTAGCCGATCCGCGGCCCGTATCATGACTCAGGCCAAGGTATCACAGGGATTAGGGTT